AATCTGAAGACTTTTCTTAGTATCAATACATACTAATTAGTGCAAATGAACCTCTTTTATCCAGCTGTAAAATTGAAAGAAGCTGGGAACATGTATTGGATATTTATGGAGTACTTGTTAACATTGATCATGATTAGAGCATTCACTTAACATTTATGGCTGACACTCGTGGGTGAAATTTACAATTATATAATTTTTATGTCAAGTTTGAAGGAAATGTAAAAATTACAAACTTTATTCGCGATCACTGATTGAAACTTTGAATAATTCTTGAAAGCAAACTCAAATATATATCATACAAAGAATTCATATATATGACTTTAAACCAGTTAACTCATAACACTGGACACTTTTAATTTGCAAAACACTCATTGCAAATCCGCCGCCGCCTTTCCTTAGAGCTACAGTATATAACCAAAATGTGCAGAATTAAATAAAGGCAACAGTAGTATACCGCTGTTCGAAATTCATAAATCGATTGAGAAAAAAACAAATCCGGGATTCAATAAATTCATTGCTTTTTTGCTGTTATTATTAAATATATCTTGCAATTTGATTAAGAAAAACGTATTACTTTGACGTAGGATCGTTACTTTTGTCATCATTAATATATCAAATACATGAAAAAATGCTATGAAGACTACACAATGTGGTTCATTTTATTTCTAGACAAAATTGAACAAAGATCTGAGCGGTATATGTCCTTGATATATTTTCATTTCATTGACTAGGGATTCAGGCTCAATACATTAATGTCATTTCAGCTACAGTTACAGACTTCCGATCCATTGTGATTACCAATGAGACGAACCATTGTCTTGTAGCATTTTAAATGTAATGATGGAAGATGATCGGAAATAACAGATTCCCTTACAAGGATAATTGCATCCCGGTAGACATTGGTGACGTTGTTAATAGTACGTTCTATTGAAGCATTATAATCCCCTGGCAATTTTTAACAAGAGTGCACACGCTGGAATGTCTCGTCTTCTTTACTAATCATTGATATTATGTTGATAGTCCTAAATATAAAGCTTTATTACAACTGTCACATAAACTTAACATTAACCAAGTAAACTAAACATTGACCAATGAACCATGAAAATGAGGTCAAGGTCAGATGAACCATGCTAGACAGGCATGTACAGCTAACAATTCTTCCATACAACAAATATAGTTGACCTATTGCTTATAGTTTAAGAAAAACAGACAAAAACACAAAAACTTAACACTGAGCAATGAACCTTGAAAATGAGGTCAAGGTCAAATAAAACCTGTGTCTGACATATAGATCATAAAATATTTCCATACACCAAATATAGTTGAACTATTGCATATAATATTAGAAAAAAAAGACCAAAACTCAAAAACTTAACTTTGGCCACTGAATCATGAAAATGAGGTCAAGGTCAGATGACACCTGTCAGCTAGACATGTACACCTTACAATCATTCCATACACCAAATATAGTAGACCTATTTCATACAGTATAAGAAAAACAGACCAAAACACAAAAACTTAACTATAACCACTGAACCATGAAAATGAGGTCAAGGTCAGATGACACCTGCCAGTTGAACATGTACACCTTACAGTCCTTCCATACACTGAATATACTAGACCTATTGCTTATAGTATCTGAGATATGGACTTGACCACCAAAACTTAACCTTGTTCACTGATCCATGAAATGAGGTCGAGGTCTAGGGAAAACTGTCTGACAGGCATGAGGACTTTGCAAGGTATGCACATACCAAATATAGTTATCCTATTACTTATAATAAGAGAGAATTTAACATTATAAAAAATCTTAAATTTTTTTTCAAGTAGTCACTGAACCATGAAAATGAGGTCAAGGACATTGGACATGTGACTGACGGAAACTTCGTAACATAAGGCATTTATATACAAAGTATGAAGCATCCAGGTCTTCTAGCTTCTAAAATATAAAGCTTTTAAGAAGTTAGCTAACGCAGCCGCCGTCGCCGGATCACTATCCCTATGTCGAGCTTTCTGCGACAAAAGTCGCAGGCTCGACAAAAAGTATATCTGTTTAAATCCAGACAGTGGTTGCTCTAATTTGCAGCAATGCAGTGTTCGTTAGAACTCGGTCAGACACTATGTTCCAGTAAAAAGCTTCGCCAAACATTTTTTTTATCTGATACAAATGTGTACTAACTACAACTGCTTTTTTTCTACCCAAAACACGTACTGATATTGCGAATTTGAATACATATAAAAAAAGAAGATGTGGTATGATTGCCAATGAGACAACTCTCCACAAGAGACCAAATGACAGATATTAACAGCTATAGGTCACCGTACGGCCTTCAACAATGAGCAAAGCACATACCGCATAGTCAGCTATGAAAGGCCCCGAAATCACAAATGTAAAACAATTCAAACGAGAAAACTAACGGCCTAATTAATGTACAAAATAAATGAACGAAAAACAAATATGTAACACAGCAACAAACGACAACCACTGAATTACAGGCTCCTGACTTAGGACAGGCACATACAGACAGAATGTGGCGGGGTTAAACATGTTAGCGGGATCCCAACCCTCCCCCTAACCTGAGACAGTGGTGTAACAGTACAACATAAGAACGAACTATAAAAATCAGTTGAAAAAGGCTTAACTCATCAGATGGATACAAATAGAAATACATATAACAAATACACGTGGACGTGACCGGGTAATTGTACATCCCAACAACAAAAATACACTAAGAACAGATCTGAGAGTACTCGCAGTTGCTGACAGCTAATTCAAAGCCAATAACAACTATTACTTAAGTAACTTCTAACCAAAGTAGAGTTTTTATCCAGATTTCACGTTTCACTGAACAGGGAAATGTGATAGTGTGAGTAAACAATGGTGTTCTATTGTCACAGATCTTTGTTTTATACATGTTTTAGAATATCAACCTTCCGTAATGTTTTAAGAAACATTAAAAACTGAGTATTCTAACATTAAATGATTTTATGACATAAACTACAGACTATAAAAACTTCTTTTTAAGTACAACCACACAATAAGAGTTCAAAAATTTTGTATAACCTTACAGTACTTTAATTTGAAGCAATTATTAGGTTTATTTGTATGCCAGGTCACAGTCAGAATCTATATATTTCTAATTTTTCTACGATATTCAATTTTACTAATGAAGTTTTCCTTTTTTTTTCAAAGCATCTACAAAGGAAATATATCATCATCATGTTTAAAAAAAACTATATCAGCTTGTCTAGAAAACTTAATTATTGAACGTACACTCAACGTTGAATGACACAGAAGGGAAAGGACAGTATGATATACAATAAATATAGGTTATCTCAAACAGCAGGACAGTTTAAATGGTATTATACGTAACACTTACTATGTAGAACAATGAAAGTTATATCATTCTATGAATAATGAATAATTACAAAAAATACCGATTGATTAGGATGTATAATCATCTAATTGTCATCTGATAAACCTATTTCCGATCAATCAAAAAGGATAATATGATCCTGTAAAATGGAATTAAAAACAATGTGATAGGAATCAAGATTAAGCCTTCTATATCGCTTCAGATTGATAACGTCGTCATATTGATGATCGAACTCGACAATTTAATTTAGTTTTCAGTAAAAAAAATATACCCCATACATTGATGAGCTTCCAACTAGATGTGTATCTCCTATCATATCAGCCGTCCTTTATATTGATGAAATGGTTGCCACGGGACGTAAAACAATGAATCAACAATCAAGCAATTCTAATCAGTTGTCTTTTTTTTGTGAGTTGCTGTCCCATTCATAAAATAAATTAGCTCCTTATTACTATACTTTATATGAAATATTGTTTGTGGTGAGTCAAATGGATCGGCATATACCCAAATTGTTTTTCAAGAGTAGTTAGAGATGGTTAAAAAATACACGAAACCCCGATCCAATCCATCTCTGGCTAAAATGTTACATTTTGTACTGATTTTTTGTTTTCGAAAAGCGTCCCATTTTTGTATAATTTCTATTTAAGTTCGCAAAGTCCCATCGAAAAATAGAATTTGTAAAAAATGAAAGCCTGGATGATTGGACATGTTTTTACTTTTCGTAAAGCATTGAATAAATGTTCGGAATAACCTGAGCGTAACGGACAGAAATAGGCCATCGTTTCACAAGTAGTTCTAAACAACATGAACACTAACGTCTTGGTAGGCATATTTTTCTTACAATTTTGAAGTGATATACATATATATATTTCTATATATAGACATCAATTTTGACTGAATGATGGTTATCAATCGATTCAAGATCATAGAAATCTAGTGTTAGACAACTACCTGCCTTGTAAGTATACATTATTATGTAACCGTCATCTTCAGTTGATTCAAATTATAATAACTGGATAGTACAGGCTCCTGACTCTGGACAGGCACAAAGAAAAACATATCCGGTCCTCAGTTTTTATGTTACTTATCTTCTAAATTCGGTTAATGAGATTTGAACATCGGTAAACTACTGTAGCCAACAATTAGTTTTCGATAAATTTATAGATAAATTTATATAGATAAATTAACATAGATAAATTTATATAAATGAATTTATTTTCACTTTAAAGCTGGAAGTTAATCCTTGGTAGGCGTACAAATTAGAACAAACAATGTCGAATAACGACACCTGTGTTGTGTGTGAATTATATGGGATTATATATCTATGTGAATATTGCGGTTTCAAGTTGTGTTCTGCCTGTCTACCAGATCACCAAAATAAATCATGTTCCGATCTTGGGTCCGTTTCTGCTAGCTGTAATTGTGCTTTACACGATATTATTGTAAGTGGTTACTGTAATGAATGTTCTGAACTTACCTGCGTAGAGTGTAAAAATCATTCAAAACATGTGATCCATCCAGTAAAAGTGGTCCATAACAACATTAAAAGAGATTTGCGCGCTGTGAAAGATGATTTTGATCTTCTTTGCAGCAAACTAAACAGTTACGATGAAATATGTGCAAGTAAAATAAAAGAACTAAGTTTGATTAAGCAACAGATAGAATATGAAGGAAATAAATGGACGTATCATATCCTAAGAAAAAAACAGTCCTTGGTTTCTATTGTTGATGGTAAGATTGGTCAACTACAAGACAACTGTCAAGAGTTGGAATTGCTTCTAACAACAGCGAAGGCATGTTTTAGCAACCTCGAAAATAGTAATGTATGGACATTTTTGAAGTCATGGTTGAAAATAAAACACACAAAAGAAGAGTTTGAAAGTATGGAACCTTGTCCATATTTGTTACAAAAGCTGAAGTTTCGTCCTGGAGTCGAAGACTCGTTTGACGTTAGCAATCTATTTGGCAATCTCATTGTTGACATGTAAGCTTAGCCTTTATTTTATATCAATTGGGCATTTTTGCACTGATAATACATGTAGCCAAATAGATAAATTCAACTGATTATAATATATATGTGATAACACGAATATCTGGACTTGTAAATAATAGAAAAAGGTCAGATTTATACATGAATAGTAAAGGTTTCTACATTTCAATGAGAACAACCAAATAAAAAAAAAGACAACCTGACAGACATGTATAGGCCTACGTGGGTTTAAAACAAAATGCACATTTGTGTCTCAGTCGCATATATCTCACATTTATGTGTTTTATTTGAACCATGTATTGCACCAAAACAGTTATTACTTCAATAAAAAATAAAAAAAATATTTGTATTACAATTACAGGAACATTCTTGTCTCACTAGAACCGTTATCAACGTATCCTTGATTCTCATTGATATTGTACACGTTTTGTTTTGGAAGCTTTATTCACTATTCCTCAGTACATATAAAGTAAAATCTATTTTTTTAATTTTAAAAACAAATTGTTTATGTAATTCAGTAGCAGTGATCCTGTCTCACGAGAATGTGTCCACTACATAACAGAGTAGGGTTATAAACAAACTCAATTAGACCTGTGTGAATACTTACATATACCAGTACAAACTTTTTAAGACATGGCATCAAAACAAATGTAGTCCTGACTTCTTTTACATAAAATTGTATCCACCACGTAAAATAGCAAAAAACAGCATGTTTTTGTCTATTTTTTTGTCACAGTCACTGTTCAATATAATGATTGTTTGCACAAATCAAATTACTAAAGTAGAAGTTTAAATTCAAACTGATCTGTAAAACGAGATGCCTCATATACTGAGTGCCAACAGACCGCAACCCTTACATGTATTTTCCCATCTGATAAAAATTCAAACCGACGGATCTTGTTGAGAAATTGACCGATAGTTCTAAGATTTCAGTTTAAACACTATTTTATTTTTAAAAGTGCACAAATGACAAATATACACCACAAATACAGGGATTCGGAAACAAGAAAACAATTGATAATCCGTATTCCTTGTAAAATTTTGAAGACGTCTTAGGATATGCAAACAAAACAGTCCAGTAACTTTCAGAGCTTTTCAATTTTCAGATTTAAACGTTTAAAAATTCCATATTTTTGATAAAAAATTAGAAATTTACACATAAATGGCACATGCACACCATAATCAACATCTCAGACAATAGTAATAAAAAATTTATCCAGATTAGCGGTTTCCCTTTGTATTTTGTCCAGTGTGATGACATTTGGGTGAAAACTTGTGAGTTTTGTTGTTGACCCTTACGTGTTGCGTGTAACTGAAATGATAAGAAAAATGTCAATATGAGATCAGAATTGTAAGGTAACAAGTAACTGAATGGTCGAGGAATGTAGTAAAACAACTGGTAAATGTTTCTCTTTAGTGCGCCATAAAATAATTTACTTCAAAGTTGCTACGTAATGTACATAATACAATCGGTTGTCATTTTTGTTTCCAGATGGTCCTTTCCGTTGGAGATTAAGGTTGAAGTTTCTTTATGGTCGCAGGAGTTGCCATGTTAGTGATCAATTCTCTTCTAAGACTTTTTTCTTGGAATGCACGACTCAATTAAACCATGACATACATATGGTAATCAACAATAAACGATCTCGAAATGGGTTCGAGCAGTATGAAAGTCAATCACACATTTGGAAATATGAAAATTTGTATAAATGCAGAAACATATCAGCCATATTTTTGTGTCATTTAAACGAAAAGAATCGTATACAGGATGGTTTGAAACTGCCCCATAAGAAAACAAAAAAGTTCTATAAAGAAAAATGTTGAGTTAAACAGGGAGTCCTGAGAGCATATTAATATTTGATATCATATATCATATGTATCTTTTCAATATGTCGCGACCGACCAGGAACAATTCCAAAGGCATAAGGTATTTCTACGGAAAGGTGGAAAGACCTGATTTAAAAGAGTAAAAAATAAATCGATAAATAAATTAATATGTTATAAAATGAAATACTGAAAAATGTGTGAATTTCACATTTCATAGAAATCAAGAATACGAGATGGGGGTGGTTAGAGAAGAAAAAGAATCATATGAGGAAAAGGTTGACAAATTTTCATTAAAATTATCGAGTATCACCAACCAGGAATCCCAAGGAGAATCAAAAGGTCCTCAGAAATCAACAACATCTCAGAAAAAAGGGTAAATTATTGGCATGATTTAATTATATATGTCCGATTGTTATGTGATGTACCAGTTTTACGTTTGACCGGATGTATATTTTTGTGAAAATCCTTGCAATTTTCAAAAAGAGTGAAAAATAATTTAATTTACTATCATTATTTATACAATTACTTGCCTTGACATACAAATAACGATAATTTAAACAGAGGTTATCTGCTGATAATTTAAAATACAAAACTAATGATATGATCTACTTCAATCTCGCCTGGACAAAAAAAAGGGACTTTGTCGTCCGTCGTCCGTTAACGATTACAAAATTCTTCTCCTTTGAAACTGCTCTGGCAATTAAGACAACCACAATCCTCTTTTTGTTGTCAATATAATGGAATTCTATGCGACGGTCATACAAGTGAGAGGTTTAGCTAACTATAAAACAGGTGTAATTCACCATTTTCTACACAAGGAAATGCCTGTACCAAGTCAGGAATATGACGGCTGGAGATTGTACTCACAGCATCTCGCACTCAAGGTGAGCACTTTAAACGCGACCACCGAAACGGTAAAGGGTGAATATTGTTCTAATCCATCTTTGGCAATAACCTACAAAATACAAAATAAGAACTATTATATAGGAAATCTTTTTGGGGACGAAATGACCTTCGATGCCAATTCGGGTCTATCTCCATTTCTTTTGTATTTGTCCCATTTCACTTACAATTTCGCACGAGATGGACATCGTTTTCTGACCTTAAACTAACCGAATAAAGGTCACTACTAAATTTGTAGAGATTAGTTGCATTAATATGTTTTCTAAATATTGTGCTGTTGATTCAGAAGCATTTTATTTATTTTCTCGTCTTTTAAAATAATGATTGGCAAATTAAATCTCAAATGGTTATGTGAAGTTGGTAAACATTGAATTTATTTTCTTTTAATTGACTTGTATTATAATTTCGTTTACCTCTTTAAATATAATTCATTCAAACACTAAACTGAAACCTTCAAATTTTGTTTCTTTTCCTAATGAGTTTTGAGTCTTGAAGAAGAGAAAAAGACGACATAATTTAATTTTCTCACCTCGTGAAATAAGTCGAAAACAGGTAACGCAAGTCATTCTAACGTCACAAGTAGTCTCTCGGTGTGTCCAACGCTAAATAGCTGCACCCATGTGACGCACGCACTAAATATTACATATTTGTGTCGTATGGCTGATGTCAAATATTAGCGCTGTTACTTTGCTATTTTGACAAGGCAATTTAGGGATTTTTATGTTATGAATTTACACTCCATAATCATAGGCACTTGTTTCTATCCATTGGGTGGTCGACTATCCGTATCTATTATATATATAGATAGTCGACCTCCCAAAGGATAGAAAAAAGTAAAATCACAAAAATACTGAACTCCGAGGAAAATTCAATCGGAAAGTCCCTAATCACATGGCAAAATCAAATGACAAAACACATCAAACGAATGGACAACAACTGTCATATTCCTGACTTGGTACAGGCATTTTCAAATGTAGAAACAAGTGTCTGTGTCCATAACCATCTTCTTCCGTTTTATCTGATTTTTTAGCACTGATAATGGATTTAAAACAAGAAGCATTATTGAATTTCATTTTTAGCTTAGAACTAAAGAAAGAACTGAAGGAACTAAGTCTCCGTCGTGCAAAATGGACAAACTATATGAATGCAAGAGAAAAGGACCAACAAAAGGCGTTTCTGTCACAACTAAACACAGAGGAAGGCAATGTGTATGTTCAATTATCGTAAATTTCTCACTACATAAGCTGTATAAGAATAGTAATGTAGAAATATGAATCACGGAATACAAAGTTGCTTTTACCAGTTGATGATTTATAATATTGAAGTTTTTCAAATCTTATAAAAAATCAATCGGGCAAATTTAGAGTTTGCTCTGACTGGGAGTCACGCAGATGTTTTTTTTTAATTTTCTACCCTTTGCGATGTTTGTTGCTGTTGTATTGGTACTGACCATTACGTCGCATTTATTCATCCCTTATTACAAAACACTACGAACCTTAAACCACTTTTCTAAAACTAACGGTTAAGTGATATAGAGAAGTAAAAAAAGCATAATGTTATCGCAATCTATGCAAAAATACACAAACTTATTCTAAGAAATAAAACAACAAAATGGTTTTCCAGCTGCCAACTAAGTGATACTTTCATAACAATATTGTAATATCTTTCGTGATAAAACTATCCCCTCCTAGCATTTTCTTATGGCTTGATTCAAAATATATAATACATATACACCCCCTTCAAAAATCAAATTATAGGAACTAATAACAAGAACGGTTTCTTTTTTAAATAGCAATATTTATAAATGCGAAATAGAATCAGCAGGACAAAAAATGGAACAATTGAAAGACGAAAACAGTGTGATAGTTAAGAAATTGGATTCTCTAAAAGAGGAGACAAATCAGAAAGTGACGAACATGTTACAGAACCACAAAGATGAGGTCGACTTATTAAAAATACAAAATCAGGATTTACAACACAGGTAATAATATAAATATACACGACTTTGTTAACTAATAGTTCTTATATTATTTGCATATCCACAAAATTAATGCTTGAACAAGATTGAATAAGATTGTTCCGTCAGAATTTCTTTCCTTGGTTTAAACTTCGATAGACCGTTCGAACTTTCGTTAATTTAAAAACTTTACCATTAACTTTTGTAATTATTGTTTGCCTTTATCGGGAATCGAACACCCTCCTTCAGGTCTGTTATGTCTGACTGATATCAAACACATCGACGAAACCTCTCAGCTACCATTGGTTGTAATTAAAATGTCTATTCTATACAATATATCGATGAACATAAATTAATTTTGAAATAGGACACACACAGATACAATGATACACAGAGCTTGCACCTCCATATATATGTTACAGTGAATTTGTTAAATCAGGGATTTTGTAAAATCCCTGAAACTGTCAGGTATTCTATAAAAACACTGAAAATATTGCTAGGGATTTTGTAATTTCAAAATTCCTGATTACAAGTTTAAACTTGATATTAGAAATGTGTTTTTCATAATACAAATAAACCAATGATTTTGAAATACATTTTTTTAATAAAAAATACTAGTTAAAACTATTGCAATGTGATTAAGAAATAAAAGGCATATAAAATGATATTAAGACTACAATTACTTTTTTTTTGCATAAGTTTGAGTGACATTTAGTGTTTCACAATTGCCCTGCTTTCCGACAGACACACATGTTTTGTTCACATCTATCCTTTCCAGAACATCCACATTTTTAAAAACCTTTCCATCATGAGCTATGAAATTGTCAACAGATACAGATTTGACTCAAAAACAGGGAATCAGTGGGTTCAATAAACAATTAGGACCCTTTAAAAATGACATGTTTTGTAACAAGACTATGTTGTAAATGTCTTCAAGACATACATAATATTTGATATCTTCATCTGATGAATACCGTTTTTTTACGATTTTGTTCACATCTCCAGATAAAGGAACTACATACCTACATTAAACAAATATTTTTTTTTTTAATGATTTGGATCTAAAGAGTGGAGATACTAATTTAAAGTTTTATTACTTTATGATAGAATACATCTATAAGTTCAAAACAAAGTTTTTTTTTACATGTAACTATCTGTTGTCTCCTTTTTCACTATTATTATTTTGTGGATATAAATGTCTTTCATAGGCTGCAAATTAATAATACAACACTTATTTGTTTTTTATATATCAATTTTCATGTCACAATAAGACATTCTCGTCCCGACATGCATGTAATATTTGCCACTGAATCACATATCCTAAACCAATTAATTTCTTACTGTTTCCATATGTGTTTTTCTCCTCTCATAACGGCAATCACTCCAATGCCAATGTACTGTCTTTATATTTGATTATAAAATTTGATATAATTGGTTGATACTTAATCTTCAGTAATTACAGAAGCACTATAATAGTTTCGAACAAGGTAATAATAAGAGCTTGTTTTGTCTTCTTTCTGTGACTTTTTAGCAGTTAGTTTTAAAATTTCATATTTTTTTCTGGTTTCCGTATGTTACATTTTAATTTTTTTTCAATTTTTTGAAGTAATTTGTGTGCGTCAGTTTGCTCTTGATTTAAAAATATCTGTGCCTGAGCCTTTTTCTACGGCATGTCAGTTGTTTGATAAAAATTGCTCACTTAGTATTAATATAAAAGGCTAAATTAACTCAAACTTGTTGAGTGTAAATGCTGTAGACTTTTTTATTAAGAATTTTTTAATCAAAAAGAATTTTTTTTTTTGCAAATTCACTAAATTTAATCAGGGAATCCGTAAAAAAGATCTTAATTATTTCAGTGATTTTGTAAAATCCCTAGTCAAAATAAGGGATTTTATAAAATCACTAATCAGTTCAGTGATTTTATAAAATCCCTAAAATTTCAGGGAATTTACAAAATCCCTGATTTTACAAATTCACTGTAACATATATAATAGACACTCTATAGTATAATTTGGCTTAATTGATGAAAGAACTTTAATTTTGAAAAAGACGTGTCAACAATAGTTAAATAATAGACAATGGATAAGCGTGGGATCGTTAAAATATATATAATTTTTTTATTTAAAACCTACCCCTTTACAACGGGGCACTTGCGGACGGGATATCCACAAATGCGTCTAACAGCATATGCAATGAGTAAGTACCGACAAGTAAAACATATTCATATGTCCATATATCATTTTCAGAATTAAAAATTGGTACATAATAAAATAAGATAGTTTACATAAAAGAAATACACATTATGTACAACATAAGAATAGAAATTAAACCAAGAGTTACATAAATCATAAATCTTTTTAACGAGCCAACGCTTATCCATTGTATCTACATTACTTATTCTATTTGAATCTTTATTTAAAAGATGATATTTTGGGATTTCTGTTTCCAAAGAATAACTGACTCTATATTCAGTAACTTCTAATTTTTCAGGCTATCAAGAAAACAAGACGAACTAAAGAGTCTAAGGACAGTAGTTAATTCAGTCATTGAATTAAAAAAAGGAAAAACAAAATAAATCTTCAGCTTAGGTATAATACAACTCAAAACGCAATATGATTTTTTAAGAGCAATCTAAATATCTTTTAGTGCATAGTTCATGTAAGAACTGACATCAGCGACAGACCGAAGCAAAATAAATTAGTTTGACAATTTCACATAAGGAAAAAGAAGACTTGATTCTTGCTCTTAGTGGTGTATGTATTAAAAAAACTCTAACATATTTAATTAATCTGTCTATCGTCAGTGGTATTGTCCCAGTTGACATGAAAATAGCTATAGTCTGCCGTATCTCTAAAAAAGACCCAGCAGACTACGTGTGGAAACTATATGCCTGTTAGCATTTTGGTTATCGTATCTAAAATTCTCGAGAAATCGGTTTATTCTCAGTTTGAAAATTATTTAATTAAGACAGATTTGCTATATAGCTTTCAGTCTGGTTTTAGGTCCTTGTATTCTATTTGAAAAAGAGAAAGCAGAAAGTAAATGTAAATGGTGTTGAATATAATTTTCAAACAGTTACTTGTAGAGTATATCAAGGTATTATTTTGGGTCCACTTTTATTCTTATCTTATGTAATTGATATATAATTAGTATTAGTTCCGATTGCAAATCATTATTATATGCTGATGATAGCACGATTTTATTTTCGCACAGGAACATCTGAAAAACTTGGAAGGGAACTCCAGTCTTGCAGTCATTGGTTAATTGGAAGCAAATTATCCCTTAATTTGGACAAAACTGAATGTATTTTGTTTGGTTCAAAACGCAAACTTTCAAAAATTGACTATTGTCAAGTCAGCTGCAATAACCATATTATTCCAGCTCAAAACAGGGTAAAATACTTGGGACTAAACATAGACAAATATTTTTCTGGGGAAATTATTGTCAGTAAAATTTCACAAATAGTGAATGCAAGACTGAAGATCCTTTATAGAAATGGTCGGTGTCTTTCAGAAAACTCTAGAAAATCTTTATATACGGTTTCAGTGCAATGTAAATGATTATGCATGTTCAGCGTGGTATTTCTGTTAATGTAAAAAGTATCAAAATAAGTTACAAGTATTTCAAAATAAATCTGCTAGATTTATAAAAGATATGGAAAACAGAACTTCCATAAATTTTAATGTAATAAATAGTATTGTTTTTTTAATGTAGAAAACAAGTCAAACAACTAAGAATCAACAGTGCATATAAAATATTTTATAAACAAAAGCCCTTTCTACATGCAAGGCAATTTTACTAAGATCAAAGATTGTCATAAATATTCAACAAGATCTAGTGAGTGCAATTGTTTTATATCACCTATAAAAGGGCAACAGACTTTAACATTTCATTCTTATGCTATAAAGAATTGGAACTTGTTGCCAAGTAATTTAAAGAGCAACAAAAATGTTGAATCTTTTAAATCTGATGTTAAAATTTTTCTGTCAAAAAAGGAAAGCAACGATTTTAATAGCACATTTTTATTTTATTGAATGGTCTAGTCAATGTTGTCGTAAATTATCATTTTAAAATGATTAGTATAAAACCTGCCAAAGTCATGATTTCTTATAACTATATTTTAATATTTTTAAGAATGTCACATTATGATAATTGGACCCCATTGGAAATAAGCCGTATGGCTTTCATGGGCAATCCAGATTAGCAATCCAGATTAGGTATCAACAATTGTTTTAGGATTTTATGATTTTAGTATGTATGCATGTCTGCTATTGTTTTATACAGTGATTTCTTTTGTAATGTTCATCTTGATATTTCATCAAAGAAATCCGTTTGTAATCTATCTCCAAACAAGATATTCGTAAGCAATTGTGTACGTAGAGACACTGTTTTATCATTCAGTTGGACTACTCTAAAATGATATGTATAACAAAATATTGCATTTTTTTGTATATTATTTAACGTCTACCTGTTATAAGGGTAAATATGGACTTCAGAGGCATCACCCGACATTTGATTTCCGTTAAACGAGTCCAAAATTATACATGTATCTAGTACCAAAATTTCACGAACAGACACATAACATAATGGTAATAAAATCAGGGTGATGGTGACAAGTTGGTTTGCTTTGCGAGTAAACATTGTTAGTTGAGAAAGAGAAAAAGAGCCGAAAGATACCGAAGGGATATTCAAAATCATAAGGTGAAAACAAAATGACAAATCCATGTCAAATACGAAAAACGATGAAAAGACAACAGTACACAAAACACAACAAAGAAAACTTCAGACTGAGAGACAAGAACCCCACCAAAAACTGGGGTGATCTCAGGTGAGCTCCGGAAGGATAAGCAGATCTTGAAAATCTTAGTCATTTTTAACGCTAAACCGATTCATAAAAGGAACTTGTAAGTTAATAACCATGTTGGAATAGTTTATAGATAAGAATATACATATCTCTGTGAAATCACCTTAATAGGAACATTGCCCGGTACATTTTAAAAAATGGAGATACTTTTGAAAAGTAGGCTGGGACAGATCGCATTGACGGATTTTAAATTTGCGAATGTTTCATGGTGTTCCATGGATCGTGTGTTGCTATTTAAGATTGGGAAAATTTCTGTATAGGAAGCTGAAACTTTGACTTTTGTCTTTGATTCTAGATTTGTGTCAACAAATAGTATCAATATTAGGGAAAAGATGCATATAGAAACTAGACCTGTTGATCTGAAGATGTCTTTTCATTTGTTTTGAATCTTTGAAATGTTCTTTTTAGTTATAACTACACCCTTTTTGTGTTTGTAGTATCCTTCAAGTTCACTATGTTATATGCAATTAAAGTTATTTCGGGCTAATAATTCTAGCTAAGTGAAAGAGCATGTCATAGACTAAATGAATGTTAAAACTGAAAAAGGAGTTAATTAACGAATTTTCTTTGTCATTTGGTCTTTATGAAAAGTTGTTTCATCGGCAATCATACTAAACCTCCTACTTGTCGTATTGTATTTGTAACAAACCTTATCTTGAACTCTATCCTATTTTTTGTAAATGTTTAGAAATTTACCTGTGACGTCACTTTAGTGCGTCGATCTATTCGGCTGACATACAATGCGTTGTTCGGCTGTGCTGCTTTTATGTGCTGATCTAGGTTGATTTACGTATTCGTTTTTATTCTGTAGTTAGTCACCACTTCGGTGTTGACATGTATATCAATTGTATGGTCATTTTTATATTTTTTAAATTTGCTGTTTGCAAAAGTATGAATTATTCTAATACTAAATATTTTCTTATCACAGGCAGATAACCTAGCCGTATTTGGCACAACTTATAGTTCGTTTCTGTGTGTGTTGCATTTTAGTGTTTCTGTTGTGTCTTTGTTCTCCTCTTATATTTGATGTGTTTCCCTCAGTTTAAGTTTGTAACCCGGATTTGTTTTTTCTCAATCGATTTATGAATTTCGAACAGCAGTATACTACTGTTGCCTTTTTTAACAACCATTAAATGCTTCATGTTGTCTGATACAATTATAATTCATTGACCAGCTCCAGTGAAGTATCCCTGTGAAATACGTTGTACATTCTGAATATCAGGGAAAATACCCGAACTATGCAAAGTATTACACCAACTACTTATGAATATGCATCTATACATTCTTTGCCATCCATCTTTTTAAATTTATGAAGAACGAAATTTGAGAGACCGTATTGCTTTCATTCATAAGTCTTCGTAGTTGTTCTATAACCAAATCATAAGAATTTCAATTTCTGCACTGAAACATAGTTTGACTAAAATATAAAACTTATTAATACTGACAAAAATAGTAACATTAGTACCCTTGATTGGAGACTTTGTATTCAAAAACTAAATATTTTACTAATATCTTGATTTTGAAATTGATATTTAGTCAAAGATGGTGCACTTTCTCCCAAAATCTTTTTAAAAAAGAACATGTAATCTTCCTCTTTAGTTTTTACAAGAGAGTCAAAAGATAACAAAGGGACATTTAAACAATCGAAAATAAACTGACAACGTCATGGCAAAAAACGAAAAAAGACCAAAAGACAAACAACAATATACAAAACACAACATAGAAAACTAGAGACTGAGCAACATAAACCCATCAAAAAAATGAGGGTGATCTCAGGTGCTCCGATCCGAAAGGGTAAGCAGATCCTACTCCACATATGGCATTCGTCAAAAAGATCCAATATGTCGTTAATAATATTTGCGCTTTTGCTGCAATATTTAATGTATATTTTACAAACAGTCTGTTTTCTGATGTCTTAAAAGTTATCTGAAAATTTTGTTAAAGCTCACTCTCTTCACCCAACTTGAAATCACTTGTAAAGAAAATAAGAGTACTTTTCGAAACTATTTTGGAGTGCTTTTATATGATGTAAAGTCATGTTATAGACAAGACAAATTTTATTATCAATAATTTCCTAAATCATGATTAATTTTCTTGTTATCTATCATCAAATAAAGCAATAATGTCTCATCATTGCTTCGTAAATTCTTGTCGGATCGCATTCTAATTGAATAAAAGAAATATATGCTAAGAAGAAAACCCTTTCGTGTTATTTGGACGAACATTACCAATAAATTATAGTGCAAACGTTTAATCTAAGTAACATGATATTAACTTCTTTCTGTACCGTATCTAAAAGTGCGTCTGTGTGTATATAGATATAGGAAGATGTGGTATGAGTGCCAACTCTCCATCCAAGTTACAATTTATAAAAGTAAACCATTATAGGTCAAGGTATGCTTACGTATTATATTTGGAAACATGCTTGTTTAGACGGAACAAAAATCTTCTATAATTCTGAACATTGATCTTTATTTATTTCCATCTAAGCTTGAGACGCAACGAATTTGTAGCTTTTATCGTTAGAAGTATTTAAATGTTGGCCTAATTAGAACAACAAACAGATTCCAGCATACAAACAGTTATTCAATCTTGAATGTTTCCACCACCCACCTGTATTGCAAAGTAAATTAACAATCTGCACGAAGGATCTTCCTCAAGGATTCATCGTGCTAAAAAACTTTGAAGAAGCTCTGGTTTTTAATGATTAATTCCCACACTGCCATGATTTTCTTTATTGAATTGAATTGAATTTGACAGTTTAAGTGTAACTATCATTGTTTTGCATCCTTATTAAGAATCAGTGAATATACTGAAATATTCAAACATGCATCATAGATTACAGGAATAAGCCTATAAAACACTTCACTCTTGTAATCAATAACAGTACTTGAAGTTTATAAAAAATGAATGAATTGAATCTATACAAAAATAGTAGTAGTTCCTTATTAATCTCAAAAACCGAAAATTATATGTCATGCAGGCGATCGAAAATGTATTTAAAAACACTTATTTTGATTCGACAATTTATTACGATGCAATCAAAAAGTAATTTCAGACATGATCACTACAATGAGTAACACGTATTCGGGTACATAAGACGAAAGCCCAGCAAATTGGTCCACATCTAGAATTGGCGCTTGGCTTGTTTTTATCAATATTTATGGTAGTTAAATTAGAATAAATACATAACAATATTGAGATTGTTTAACAGATTCAAAGATTTGATTGACAGACAAGAATCTCGAGACATTCCAGTGATGTGAGCCATAGTTTGTTCCGTGTTGAAGACCTCATTATCATTTTGAAAAGATAAACAGACATTTATGTCAAGTTTAGTGCATACGATCAAACTGTAAGAGTACGTTAGTGACTAACTTTAAAATTCGAGAGGACAAATATCTTAAGTCATATAGTTTGTTTTCCTATAAATCGTTTCCTATATGACACTTAAATTGGGAAATAATTGTCATAGGACTTCGCTAAAACATGTTATTTTTATTTTTTCAAGTTTGAATTGTGGGATTAGATTGATTTTCTTGCTTTTAGTATGTTTTATGACAACAACAAAACAACGACACATCTTTCTTTTAAGCAGGTAAATAGAACTCCATCTCTTTCGGAAAAGAAATGAGGTAAAAATATCAAGAAAACTTTTTCATATAAGATAAAGGATTTTTTGACAACGATACGTTTATCTATTAAAGACCAAAGGACAAAGATCTAAACAATTATACACAGGTCAGCATGCTACTTTCAAAAACAAGAAAACGCATACTGTATGTAAAGCTATAAAAGGTTCCGCATGACAAAATGGGAAAAAGAGTTAAGCAACCATTGGACCTAGATCTAGAGTACTCGAAGTTATTGAAAGCTTGTTTATAGCCCAGTTTTAAGTGATAAATAAATCATGTTCTCCAATAGCCTTATTTTTATCAAACTTGGCAGGAGTCAATTATTCAGTTTATATGTCTATTACATAATACTATTTCCTCTTTAAATCTTACATTGAAAAATCATTCGAAATGCAGTGGTCATTTGTAATTCAAGGTGTTCATCTTAATGAAAACAAACGAACTAATATATAATTATAGTTTTTCACAAATAATTCCAACAGAGAGAACAATTCGTAGAAATGTATAACATGTAATGCAATAAAAGAAAAGACCCGGACAACGAAAAACATGAATTTGCCTACTGATCTTTAATATCAAAATACAATCCTTATTATGTCGGCTAGTCAAATCATCATTAAATCAGCGTCAATAAGATTGAGATCCCTGCTGTACCGAATTCGACCCATTAATTTCTCGTAACAAAAATTAAATCAAGGTCCACAAGTACGGACGTTAACCCGCCGCCTCTTATTATTTTTTGTTTCTATGTCGAACCCCCTCCTCTAAGCTTTTCATGGCCAGCCATTTACCCGCGACTGGAATTTTTAGTAATACGGTAGGATGATTATGATGATTTCTTCG